GTCCATATGATTTATAATATTTTTGAATAGGATTTTGTATTCAAATTATTATATTTTTCTATCCAGCACCCATCTTGAGACTGAAAAGCGTTTTAAAGCACACACATGTAACACAATATGTACATGCAACATGCATTTAAAAAAAACATGTATATATGTATACGTAATCCACAGACTAAAGAATAATATAGACCGTGTTATAGAACTAAATATGAAGGCAAACTTTTTTTTTAAATAATATATGTTAAAATAGTACATATACCAATGTCAATTTGTATACCGAGTGACAAGTAAATAAATGTTAATAAATAAAAATAGCTAACTGATTTTATTGTAAGAAAAAAAATAAACTAATTAAAAAGAAGCTTAAAAAATACATAAGAATATTTTCTTATTCATAATATATTTTTAAAAATTATATATTATGTTAACTAATGCATATATAAAATAACCCTTATTCTTTAAAAAAAGTAAGCATAGTAAGCAAAATCATGCTATTTTTGACTTTAACAATTAATTTTGTGGTATGGAGGGTAACCTCCATATTTTGGGGGACTTCATCTATATAATTGTTTAGTCTGTGATATAATCAAAATACATAATTCCAAATATTGTTTAAACAAATATTTGTACGGTTTGTATCAAACTTTGTATTGTATTTGAGTTGAAACTCAAAATAAATGTTTTTGTAATACAAGTGAGTTTAACTTACAATTGAGAAAAACTCAAAAATTTAAATTTAGTTTAAACTTAATTTAACCACCCCATTTACTACTTTCATACAAATTAAACTATTTCAAGTGTCATAAAATGTAAGACGACATTTGAATGTTAGAAACATTGAAATAATTATTCCAAAAATTCTTATACAACTCAATTTCATATCTTCTTAGTTGTTAGAGCATTATAATGTCAATTCAATTCAATTCTCATATTAATGGCTTCAAAACGTGCCAGTTGAGCACAGATTACTTCGCCAATGTCACGTGGAATTGAGAAGACACGAAAACACTATAATGCCTTCAATATAGTGAGTATATTTTATGACATAAGAATTTTTGAATTATCAAGATTATTGGGCAAGAAATGTATCAACAACACATACCTCTTAAACTATTCATGTATAACAAAACTAGTAAAAAACGTCATAATATGGGCCATACAACCGCTAAATTGTAAAAAATCTATACACAATTATATAATATAATATGTGAACATTTTTGGAAGCTATTTTGGTTTTATACATTACATTACACGAATAGAAACGATACAATTCGAATGCATATTATTATAATTTCTACTCTATGGCAAGATACTGTGATTGAAAATTATTGTACTAAAAATGTATTACGAGTAGAATTTATAAGATTTTTTTTTACGTAATCAAGAAAAATTATTATAATTAACATATTTTTGATACTTAAAACCCAAATCTGAACAAGTTGTTAATTTTGTTAATTTAAAAAAAAATGCTATTAAAATATTTATAAACATAGTTAACCTGTCATAGATTAAGTTAATTTTTCTTTTATCTGTTATTTTGAAAAGAGAAATTGTAAAACTATATATTGAGAATTAGAACGAACTTCTCAACATTTCACAAAATACCACTATATCAATTTTTAACAGTAGGTTCTTCTTCAGTATGGTAATATTTGGCTTTTTAAAGTATTGAATCGAAGTAAGAACAAATAACAATTTGTAATGTATATTAACTTTTACTAAAATAGCGCCAGTACTTTTTAAACATTTTGCATTTACTCTAAAATGTAAATTTATGCAAAGGTATTGTATATTCGCTAAGCTATTATCATCAATCAACTTTTTAAGTTAAAATTACTTTGATTGAAATCTTCTTATTTTGGCGCCAAAACTCTATTTTGATATTTACATTTTTTTAATGACAAAGACAAAAATGTTTACAACCTAACCTGTATATGGGTCATAGACACAGCATGAACTATACACGTTCATAAAAGCATTTTTTTAATACAAATATGGTGAAATTAGCACTAATTATAATACTTACCATAGTATAAACTTTCTAATTTTAATAAAATTATTACGATATCTACGTGACTCTTTTAAAATTACGTTTATTTATATTAAGGTGATTTCATGCTACAATCTATGACGGACTACTATATGGGAAGATCTTTGTCACCAATATGTTATGTCAGCAGTCTTTGGTTAGTTTAGAATACTATGTTATATTATAATATTTATTTCAATAATTTATATATCAAAAATCTAACAGTTTATTATATTGCTTACGAATGACAATCGAAATGAATACATCAAACCGCTATGGAAATAATGTTTAATAGGAAAAAATATATTTTGTATCTATCTTATAATTACTTGACAATTTGTCTCACTGAATTATTCTCACTTATCTGTAGCTAGTGTGTATATATTATCTATCATTTAGATTAAATAACACAATTAATAATATTCAGATCCATGTTATAAGTTACAGAGATATTCACATAGAACAAGCAAGATGTAAGCGATTTTTTGACTTTGATGAATTCTTTAGAAAATTTAGAATTATAATTATATAACGTCCATTTTCAAAATCCGTGATGACCAAATAAGACAATTAGATATATATAAAAAAAAACTTAAGTGACGAAAAGTTATGGAAAATTAAAATCTGTTAATAATTTCTATGGAACATTTCTACTCCCGAGTCACTCTATGTGAATAATCTCGATATAGACGTATATAATCCCATTCTATCCAACATACAAACCGCAGCCTCATATTTTATATAAAATTTAGACACAAACACATAACCAGGCAGAAATTTGAATAAGTAATCAAAATAATAGCTTTTTTGACATTAAATTTAAGGTTTAAATATTTTAACTTACGAATGTTTATATATTTAAAATGTAAGTGACGAAATAATTAAATGTATGTAATTAATTTATACTTCTTACCAAACGCCTAACATAATATAGATATAAACTATTACGAATGATCGTCATCAACTTTGCGAATCTAACAACATATTTTTTTTTAAATTCAGCCCTTTTTAACGTCTCACTGCTTGGGCTTCAATACGTGGGGTATCAGGCTTCACCACGCTGGCCGAGTGCGGGCGGACTGAGCATGTCTTTAGAAAATTTTGTGAATTCTCTCAGACATGCAGGTTTCCTCACCATATTTTCCTTCACCGTAAGACAAGTGGAAATCATGTTAGAAATGATTCACACATAAAAATATCAGAGCTGCGAGGCCCGGAATTTGAACCCGTTTCACTCAGATTCCCGCACGCGTTACCACTGGACTACCGCTGCCTTTTAATATGTATTTATTATGTTATCGAATATTTAACAAACGATAGCGATCATTGTAATCGATTACATCTATCAATATCTATTCAAAAACTTTCTATACCATGATACTTACTAATCAAACCACATTACATCTAACCCTCACAAATATTAACTTCTATAACTAAACTACGAATTTCTAGAACTTTCTATATTATTCAAAATACTTTTAAATATTTTTAGAGTACAAGGTAGGTAGTCTTGGGATCGATTTTACTTATATTTAGTTGCGAGATAAGATTTTAAACTTTAACGTTAACATTATTGGGTAATTATGTTGATATATCGATTAAAAATCGATTTACTTGTCAAAAATGTAGTACAATTTGCTTGCAATTTTAAGCTATTCGGTTCCATTTTCAGGCGAATATTGATTAATATAAAAGAATAGGTAGCTACTAATCATATTTTATTCGTAAAAATCGATATTATTTAAACGTTATAAAAACTCGAATTATTAAAAATGTTATAGCATTTACTATAATAATTATAAATAATGTAAATATGTGTATATGTGTGTATGTTGGTGATTATAAACTTTCCTATATGTACGTATACTACACTAGCTAGCTAACATTCTAGAAACTTCTTACCTACAATTATCACTCGAATTTACTAAGTTTAGTTACATAGATAGCACTCAACTTTTTCTTTTGTGGGTAATTTCACTTGTTTTCATATTTGTATATAAAATTAGTAATTATTATTTAAGCCAAAACAGCTAAAAAAAATAACGTCAAAATGAAATTCGTTACGAGAACAAAATTTAAACGTCGACCAAATCTAAACAAATATTATTATTTCAAATAATTAAAAATGGTTTTAATAAAAAAAAATCCCCTTCATAACTCTCTCTTCACTATAGACATAGAGAGTGGACCGAGTGTTTCTTTGCCAGCCATCAGCTGAAAATAGCGGCAAAGCGACAGAGACAAAACGAAGATGCGGCTAGAAGTCTTCTGTATTCATTGAAATACGATTAATAAAGATGGATATTTAATATTTATAATCATTTTACATTAGATTATAATATTGTAACTTTTAATAAATTATAATATTTTACATTCCATTTATAAATTCAAATTGGAATAAAAGACAGGTATTGGCCGAACGTTTGCTTTCTCTCTTTCTAGAGAGTGATCAATTTCATGAGAGTATTGCTCAGTCCATTCTCTACGTCTATGCTCTTGACATTTATCACATGTAATAGCCACAAGGCTATTATAACCAAAAAAAAGAAATATCTAGATTTAACTAGATTTCAAACATCTGTCACTTTCTAAATTTTAGTATATATAACTCACAAAATGATTATTCTTCGCGCAGTCCTAATATTATTATTAATTTAATACTATTCCCAATGAACCATTTCTTTCGTTATGGTTTAATAACATTCTAGTACATTCTATTCGGCCATCTTATTTATTTTGAAATCTTTACAACTAACGCAATTATTAACTAAAATATAATAAAAGGTAAAATTTACTAAGTGCCATTTCGATAAAAAAAAACATTATTTTTATATGTTATTCCTTGAATTATTATTTTAAATTTTTTTAAACCTAGCATAATTATCAAATTGTATTAAAAAAAATGGACTTAGCGGTTTTTACCTTTGTATTTACAAAATCAAAGCTTCTACTACCTTCTAGAAAGTTATATGAATCCACCATTTTGTTTCACGGTGCCATTAGCATGAAGTTCATTACCATTAGTCGTGGTTTCTTTTGTATGTGTGTTCTTTCTTTTAATGCAGTTGTAGAGTGGTAACATAAATAGTATGATGCCAGATGCGCCTATGAAAACACCGGCCAAGTAAAACGATAGATCGTAGGAGTTAGTTATGTCGTAGACCCAACCTGGAAAATAAAAAAAATATAATTGTGTATTTATTTACCTATGTTAATTGTAAGGTTAATATTTATTGCTCTAATTTTATATTTTTATATGATATTTTTATATTTAAAGTATTATAGGTATGTATTATGAAAATAAAAAAAACGATATGAAAAATAATAATCTAAATCAATTTTAGACATGAAAATTGTTTCAATAAAACGTTAAAAAAAAATATTTACAAATTATTAAGGTGAAAATGATTAAAAATGAATAATAAGCTTGGCATTTGCTAATAACAAAGTAACATATGGACAAATAGGCAAACATATTATGATATTCATATATTACTGTAGATTAAATATATATGAAAGTTAAATATGGTTACATAAATATGAAATCGTGTTTCTATTTTATTATTTTTTACAGAAATATCAAATTAAACATACAAAACGACGGAAAACAAACAGCAAATAAAACCGCGCAAAAACAGTTTTATTTGGTAAAATAATATATAAAATATTCGCGTAAATCTAAAAAATTAATAATACTACTCTAAGTAAAAAAAAAACAAATATAAAAACGAAAAAAATATACATACCAGCCAAAGGAGGTCCAACTAGATTGGCCAGACCTTGCATAAGCAGTAGCAATCCATATGCGTTGGTAAACTTTTCCAGTGTAATTTGCTCCACAAGGATGATACTTGTTAATGAATAATTGGCAGCTATAAATGCGCCGAAGGCGCCAGACGCGGCCGCCAGACCGAGATATGTGGTTAGTAGCGGCATTATTAATGTTACAATGCCACACAGGACCATACAACCTGCGTAAACTAGACTTGGGTTTACGCACTGCCAATCCCCGACCCATCCTAGTAAGATCTGGAATAAAACAAAAAATAGTGTGACTATACATAATACACGTATTATGTACATATATAATAATTATGTCCTCCTGACCGATATCGGCCACGGCGGCCAATCTCGTTGAGACTAGCCAACTGCGCAGGAGATATTATAGTGCAGTGCGTGTGCGCACAAACACAAGTGCACTCCCTATTCCCGTCACTCTCATACAACTTGCTATGCTTTTTACAATAATATTACCAGCAGAGAAACTAAGATATATCGAGGTAAAAGGTAGGACATTTTTTTAAGAATTTTTATCTAATGAAATAAAATCACAAACACCTCCTCATTCACACACCTATATAAAAATTGACGAAACTCGATTCATTACAAAATTATTAATCTTCAATAATTACTATTAACAAACTAATAAAACATGCTTTTCAGTTTTTAAATCTTATTCAATCTCTATAAATACTCGTTATATGAGACTCAAATCGGAACGAATGAGCCTAAGTAGCCATTCAGGAATTCCGCTATCCACCTCCTGACTCCATCATCATATCAACTCGATGGCATCATATTGTACAATACAACAATTAGTAAAATGACTTCTATCTTTGTGGTTTTTTTACGGATTTTTGTAACAACTATATAATGCCTTTGAGATGTCTATAACCTTAGTCTCTATCGTGACCATGATTGCTGTAAAGCATTCGAAACGTCGAGAACCAAAATTAAAAATAAATCCGCGAAAAAATCCCAATAAAAATAGTTTTGTTTACAATGTCAAATATTCGCGTTTTAAGAAAGTGTTAAGACATCTAAGATTTAATTTTAATTACAAAATTACAAATGATTACACAGTTATTAAAAACGTGTCGAAAATAAAATATTTCATTCGCCATTCCAACTACATATTTACATAAGAATTGCCTTTATATAAGTCCTTCTTACGCTCTTATCACAAGGACAAACACAGACACGTGGTGATGTTACATAAGCTTACTACATATTTATACGGGTCAAGTTAGATAGCTTATCAAATTATGTGCAAATTTTAAAAAATCTGGTATGTACTTACTAATTTCAAATATATTATTATACTTGTAACAGAATTATGAAATAATTAAACATCTATTCGTATATGTACATATAATAAAATTCTAACCGAATCGAATCTGTACATAAGATATTCTTTTGGAAAATCTTATTAAAATACACACATTTAACACAGTATAAGGCATGATCTATAAAAATAGTAATACTTAATTAAACCATGCAAACGAGCCGCGGGAAAATGCTAGTATTATCAAATAGTCACATTCAACATAAAACATGTAATACTGAAAAATATATATTTATTTTTAATATGTTTTAATGCATTTAAGTTAAATACATAAAACTAAATAAACTTAAATATCTTAAGTAGCACACGTACTGTGGTTCTTATCATAAACAGAAGTAGCGTAAGCTTATTTCTGCTTATCTACAAATGCAATGCCATCCTTGTAACATCAAATTAATTTTGTAATTAATTCATTAAAACAAATGTATAGAATATTCTAACATAACTGTATTACTTTAACACGTATAACTAGATTAGTTACCTATTATGTTAATCAAACGAACTCAGCACAACTTTATCATAAGCTAAGCAACTCATTCTCGCTTCGTTCGGGTTCGTCCGTCGTGAAAAATAAAAACATATCTATCCCACCGGAACCTATATTTTTCCGGAATAAAAAGTAACCTATGTGCTATTCCAGACTATAATCTATCGCTGTGCCAAATTTCACCCCGATCCGTTCAAACGTTCTGGCGTGATTGAATAACAAACATCCATCCATTAGAACTTTTGCATATATAATATTAAATTAATAATGGAATGTTTAAGCTGTCACTGCGTGAAGCGCGTTAATGAACAATTAATAATAATTAAAGAAACACACTCACATACAATACTAATAAGATAAGTCTGAAGTTATTTTCCAGTTTCTTTATTGCTTGTTTTAACCCGCTTATTTCTGAAACTTTTATCACAATACCTATACGAGCAATTATTTTTATTTTATGTAAGTAGATTGAGTAAAATGATAGTCTAACACCACGTTACGACCCCAAGAAACGAAGCAATTATACCAAAAATAAACTACGCAATCAGAACCGCGGACAAAAACTAGTAATAAACATAATAAAAAACCCAACTCACCTCTCCAAACATGTTCAAGATACCGATAATCGATATCAACATGGACGATTGTGATTCATTGAAGCCCATGCTCATACCATTGTCCGCGATATATACGTACGGCACGTCATACCACATGTATAGTAAGAAGTTTGATATTGCGAACACTAAGAATGCCGGATTGCGAAAATGCGAGAAATCCAGCATGTCAACTGCTAAATCCCAAAAGTCCCATAGACCAGCGTACCATTGCACCTGAAAAGTGTTAATGATAATGTTAATAAAAAAATACTTTCGTATCTAAAAAGACCTACGAAAACTTGTAACAGAAAGTGTAATTATTCCACGGACTTTTCGTAAACTTTATTTGGGATCCTTGATGTATTAAGTATTCTTTAAAAAGAAATCGTTAAAATATATTAATAAACAAACTAAGCGTACCTTTTCTTTGGCAATAGTTGTCATGGAATTTCTAAATATATTAGGACAGGAAGACGCACGAAGTCTGTATCTATTTATGTTGAGCATAGCACCTCTGTACGTTAACGAATGTCTGTGAATCCTCAAATCTTTAAAAAACGCCGTTGGCTTCTTGGTGGAGCCAGCCCCTTGCCGCCTCAACCATAGAGATACTGTCTTTTCGTTCAAAGAATCCCTCGCAGCTCTCTCTGGTGCGCTTGGACCAGACGCAGGCGATAATGTACCTGGTGTGATAGCTCCAGGAGACATTATCATTTTTGGTGGTGATTGTTCGTGTAAACGACCACTGTCACTAAAGCTTCGTGATGGCAACATTACTCCAGGGTAGTTTTGCGCTAAAAGAGCATACGCTCTACCCTTATTTGACATCATTTCAAACACTTCCAATGATACTCCTTCACCCTTCGTCATATATGTCGGTAGGTCTACCAACGAACTAAATTGCGGTACAATTTTTGATGCAACCGCTTCTATATCTACGGGTTCCGTCACTTTAGTTGAACCAGCAGCGCTACTCTTGCTATCTGAGAAGCTATCTGCCGATGATTCGAAACGTTTGTTTCGTTTTTTCTCCCTTTTTCTTTTTCTTTCTCTTGCTTTTTCTTCGTTCATTGTAGTGGTCCAGGGCAAATCTCGGAACAGCATCCCACAAACGGCCATATTGAGAAAAAAGCCAGCCAATATTAAAGTAGTTCCACGCCATCCATATTCATCTAATAAAACATATGTCAGTGGCGCAAATATGAATGTCCCGATTCCACTTCCACATACCGATATACCAGTTGCTAAAGAACGCTTCTTATCAAAATAGTAAGCAACTATAACCACTGCAGCGACATAGCACAAACTCAGTCCAAATCCTGCCATAATACCGAACGTCAAAAACAATGTCTCCATATTATCTACGAAGGCGGAAATCACAAATCCAAACGCCGCCAAAATAGAGCCAAATATAGTCACGCGGCGACAGCCATATCTGTCCGTTAAGAAACTTGCGATAGGACCGGATAGCAGCGGCATCGCCATAAAGATGCCCGCAATCCAGGCAGTTTTTCCTTTACCCTCGCCGAAATACTCCAAGAAATGCGGGAAGAAAACACCAAAGCTAAATGTAATGCCGTCAGCGATAAGATTGACCATGAACGATGCGAACACGATCACCCAGCCCCACCCCCCGTCCGGGGGCCGAGCTTCCGCGATCGAAACCTCCTCATCATCAGAACTGCTACTCGAGCTGGACACTGAGATTGCCGCGGGGGGCGACTGCGCGTCAAACTGCACATTCTTGCGACCGATCGGATCACGGAGTAAAGGCTCACTTTCTGGGATAGAGGGTAGCGTTCTTGGCAAACGCGTTTCTTCGCTTAAGGGTATGGTATCGAAGGTTCCGCTGGGTCCTCCTTGGAGCGACCGATTGAACGCGCGATCCGACGGCGACGAGACGCGCGGTTCCATGCCGGCTGGAGGCGGCAGTGTTGAGCGCGCGAGTGCAGCGCGGGATCAGCAGTCCGGGCTTCCATGCGTACACAACGCCGTCGTGACCTCATGCTGGAAAGCAGATAAAGTTAATATTAATACAAAAATAATAAAATATACATTTCTTTATATTCTTTAAATATTGGTATACAAATTATAAAGTATATTTTTACTTAAAATTTCAAAGAAAACTATTTTTTTTTGTAGTTCGTTTCAAGTCTCTCTCGTAACCATGTTTGCTGTAGGGCTTTCGAAACATCCGCATTCAAACCGCGACAAAAACCAAAAAAACTTTTTATTTAAAATAAACAAACATTTGCGTAAAGAAAGAAAATTACTAAGGATATTTTTAGATAGGTTCGCAATCAATGGTCCGGATACCATAAATATTCTTTATACCTAGTACATTGCATACAGCTTTCATAATAGTATTTTATTAACATAGGGGGTTCATATTAGTTCAAAGCCTTTTAGTGCTACTTCATTTACCGACAAAAGGGGGTCAAAGAATGTGTGCTAAACCATCGGAGGCGCGTCGATTGGCAGACAAAGCTAAACGACGCGTCGCTAGCCTTATGCTATAAGCTATATAAAAGTAATTTAGATGAGTAATAAAATGGTAACACTGAATTTTTTTTTATAGATAGAGGCGATAATATTCAATAGAATTTATTTTAATATATGAATTTTAAAAATAGCTAATAATAACTCTGTCACTAAACATAATTATTAAAAATAATTGAATATAATATAATTCACTTGTTAAAACTAATTATTGGCATTGTATTGATAGCATCCACCTTTTAAAACCAACTCAAAAACAATATTTACTACAATGTCAACTTAAGCTTTTACTGTGGTGCCAGATGTGTAACATTATCGCATAAGTAGCATTTTATCAAAATTGGTCCAAAATGTACAATTTTTGGATTCAAACTTAGATACCCTTGCCAAAATTTAAAATTTATACAACTAAGAGGTTGTTTGGCCTAGCCTTTGGCCTTAATTTGAAAATGGTCTACGATTTAAAATTGAGCCAACTTTCAAATACATATATTGATTTTAAAGTACTTGCTTTTGTATATTTAAATATAAATATTACTATTGATATAATAAAACAAACAATGTTAAAAATAAGTGAAAATTGTAATATAAGATTAACCTTAATCTTTATAAGTAAGCCCCTTAACAAATGTCAATAACTAATTTAAAATAACGGCGGTCTTACCGATAAACGTTCTAGCGACGGAACCGATTTATTGAAGTGAAAACTTCTAGACAGGTTTAGATGGGGTGTAAATTCATGTAAGTCGTCATCGACATGGTCACACGACGTGTTAACGCTAACACTCAGAGTGCCGATAGTTCTCAAAACCAGGTAAATGTAAACAGTTTTAATTTACAAATTTTAATTTAAGATCAAACAATTTGAATATCTACAAATAACAACTGTTTGTTTATAGTTTTAAGTTTTCACTTCTGTCGGCGGTCCTCTTGACTGTTTTTTTTAAAAGAGTTTGAGTTTTTTGTTAAGATACCTCTATTTTATTATATTTATGGCTAAAATGTATTACTATGTAGGTAATACTTTCACAAATTAAGGGCCTGTCTCCTGAGGAATAGACACGCACTTAATTGTGTGGATTTCTTTTCACAAATGGAAACGAATATCGTCCAATATAAAGAATCATGAAATTATGATTGCTCAGTACAGTCATGCGTGGTCTGGTCGTGGTGGAATATATGAAAAATATTATAGAACGTCTATTTGAGAACCTCTCGATTTCTTTATTAGTTAAAATATAATTAGGTACTTAATAACAGAAGTCATTTAAGCAGATTATTTTTACTGAATATAAGTAGCCATAAAAATCACACCAGTTTATAACCTCAATACAAAATTTTATATCATGCATGATGCAGGTGTATTACTATACAATTTTAATAGAATGGAAAATTCGGTCATGACGTAGCTTTTCAACTGAATCGAGGTAACATCAACAGCAGATGATTGTTTTTTTAAAAGCTCGCCATAAAGTGTCATCGATATAGCCATTTCAGCGATACTCCTTAATAACCCGACAAAAAGGGGCTTCACCGGGAAATGATGTTCATTTTTATTATATACAAATAGGATATAACTTGTACATATAAAACTTGTTAGAAAGAAATTAATAAACAATTTTTTTGATCTTATAACTTAACAAATACCCTATAAACCTATGTCTTATTAATTGGATCATTATTACAAAAAAAAATAGATTCCGCGGGATACGATTAGATAGAAGGATATCCTAGTAGGCAAAAAGTATGATCGCAAGACATCAGGATTTTTAGTGATATTATTTTCAGTAAAGTAGACTACGAAATGCGATTCTCTGCGCCATTGGCTAGTAAAATACTGCAGTACGTACAAAGATGCACCACATATACGTTTTCAAATTATCTCTCTACATGAATAAACTTTATAAAAGCTATCTTGCTAACAGCTTGCATTTAGACTTTTAGAATGCAGGCATAATGGATTGGCGAACGGGAAGCTTAAGAAAAAAACATATGAAACGCAGAAAACGTCGAAAATTGGAATTCAAATGAAACTGAACATACACTTCGAAGCAAAAAATGCTGATTTTTCGAGTAATTAGTTTTTTTAATTGCTAGATAACTGACATTACTGACTAACGTTGTCTAGTCTGACTGACTTCAAAAAAGAAAGACATTGCTGATTTTTTGGCAATTGTGAACAATTTTCTAGGGTGTCTGACGAGATATTTATAGATATCCAGGAAATTGATCTAAGGAATTCTTATATTATTTTCAGACAATCTTATTATAAACAGTGATATTTCAAGATATATTTTTAATGTGATGATAAAGAGGTAGTGTATGCGACACGATACACTACCTCTTCTCTATGAAAAACATTTGATCAACAATCGATTTACAATTCTAAAACTAATATGTACTCTCAATAAAAAAGAAAGTGACATATTCGTACAAAAGCCATTAGATTTAATTTAATCATAATGACTTGTGCTAAATTAAATGGAACTTTGCACTTGACAAAAGACTATATTGCGTTAAGATATTTCGCTAATAAGAAATTGAAGACGACAGCAAAACCTCATTTTAATAATACCTTAAGTTTAATCAAACTCAAAAGAATCTAACAAAGTAGAAAAACTCAATTAGACCCTAGAACATAATAGAAGGCAATTTCTATAATAACGTCCCCTAGGAAATTAGTACAATACAGGTAAATGGCTAAACGTCTGTAGACCTATTGATTTTTAGTGGTCTTTATAAAAAGTACACTTCTGGTACTTTTTTTGTTAACCGTCACTTGCCTGTGACGATAAAAACAGTCTAACACTTCCGATTGCTCTACCTGTCAGTGAAAATCTCTTTAAAATCGATTCAACCGTTTCGGAAAATGTAAACTCAATATGAGCTAGATATTTAAATGCATAGACGGACAACTCAATTTATTTTATTATTAAGTCGCTTTAAGAGAAATAGCATAACTATTCTGTTTTAAACAATTAAGACGCAACCATCTGCTTACCGGATGAATACTAGCGACTAGGTAATAAATGAAATATTTAAAAATACATCACAGATGCGTTGACTAATGAAATAAGGTCAAGAGTAAAGAGAACATATAATAAGCATTTTGTCGTTTTCAATTATTTTTTTTATTTCAAACCTAGCCGCCTATAAATCTCTTAAAAATGGTCATTATTAAACGGTTTTACAAATAACCTTACTTTTGAAAAATTCTACACTTTGTACGTACTTTCAAATAATTTCAGATTTTTTTATTAAAGATCGTGAACACGTTTGATCTGGCAACCCATCTGCGATATATTTGCTTATACAAATTATTTCTTATATAAAATAATTTCTATTCGATATAACGATAGATGAAGAACGGCCGTACTTAAAATCTACATATATTTTATATTACACAACCCAATTAACACTAAAAATCTGTCTATAGATATATACAATGTCACAAAGCGTCACACCACTCACTGATCAAAATGTGAACTGATGAAAGTAGAAATGCAAAAAAACTTGAAATTTGACAAGTAGATTTTTCATAGAGAGAAGGTATTAATTAACAAAGGATGTTTAAAAATTCAGCGTCTAAAGACATAAAAAACAGTTTAAAAGTTTGTATGAAAATTCGTTGTTTTTAAACTAGCGGGCAAATATTAGTAGGTGAATAAACGTATCACCCACATTTTTAATTTTCATACGTTAGATTTGTATCAAAAATATATTTCTTTGTAATCTGATTACTCTAAAACACTCAACCTCGAGCTCAAGGGCGACTGAGAGCTATTAGTTTTAGAGGCCGTTATAAGACTCGAATTAATATTTCCGCAACACTGTTCAAATATTGATGATAAGTGATAAATAAAATATCTACTAAATTATTTCGTATTAATAAATAAGATAGATATTGTTAGAACAGAATTTAGTATTTATAAGAATCTATACTAATATTATAAAGAGGAAAGATTTATTGTTTGTTTGCACCGAATAAACTCTGAAACTACTGGACCGATTTAGATGAAATTTGGTAAGAAGATAGTTTGAGAACCTGGGAAGGGCATAGGATAGATTTTATCCCGGAAATCATCCCTTAAAAGGGTGAAACTGGGGATGACAATTTTTAAGAGGAATCTACCCAGGGACGAACCCGTGCGAAGCGATTTTCTTATTTTTATATATAGTCTAACACAACCAAAATTATTAATTTCATGTAGTATGTGTAGTATTTGTCTATGTATCTATATAAGTATAAGTAATTTTACATATCATAGTAATTTTACATATTTTACATATCTATATAAGTAATTTTACATTACTTTGTACTGGAAAAAATAATCTTCTATGTCTTGTCTTAAATATGAACGTATTATCAATGTAACATCACAATATTTGTTAAGCAATTACTAATGTGTTACATA